CCCGAAGTTTACATTTGTCCTTTAAAACCACTTGCTCTTTGATGGTGGAGATTGTGTCCTCTGTGGGGCGTTTGGCAATGGTTAGAGATATTTTTCCTTGTTGCACTGGTTGGAGTCGGTGTTGGCATGCACAATGTACAGCAAAGGCCTGCTCCTATTACAAAGAACTACTGGGGGCAAAAGTGCCGTGCTATAAAGAGTTTCCTACAATTATATTCTGCTATGCACCTAACGGGTCGAGAGTTTACCAAATGCGCTCTCTGGATGTGGACATCTATAGGATATCACGCGTGTGCAGTGACGGGTCAAAGGTCAATTTTTGCCGTTGGCAGTGTGAATAAGCTCTTCCTCCAGTTGAAATAATAAAATTAAAACTTGAGTTCTTAAAAGTCCATTTAAAGACGACATTTCAGGGAGCACAACATACTGAGAAGCTATAAACTCATTGAAACAGCAATGGTTCTCTTAATGTTTAGTCTTGTAATGATTTTCAGAATTATCCTTGATAATTTATTTCAAAGGGAGAAAAGTCCTAATCAGGAGAACCATGAAATCAGACTCAGGGTGTGCTAGACGCAGATCTGTGCCTTTAACTGTCTTGCACTATTAATAAGTTCATGTGTTAAAACTTCTCAAAGTGCCCTTTTCATATTTACTAGTAACTTTTGTTAAGCATTGTATCTATAGATCCATGGTCAATCATACTAAACACTTTAAATTGAAATATATAAAACATTCCAGGATTTTCACCTAGTAAAATACTAATGTACATTAACCAGGACTCCATTTAGCACTGAAATATTTATTAATACAATAATGAATTATTAATTCCTTTATTTCATTCCTTGCTTAGCATCTCAGCACTTCTGAAATGTAATTTCTTTGAAGAAAACCTTGAAATAGCTTTTGCCAGTTTGTAGAGCTTAATGTCATACCTTACCAAATTATTGTTCTCCAAAGGATTCGTTTATTTGACAGAGTATGACTTAACTCAAGCAGGACGTCACGTACATAGGTGGCAGACAGTGCAGAGACGAAGTCAGGGCAGGGAGAGCGGGAAGAAGAAACAGAACAGACAAATAAAAATAGAAACTTAATGGCTGGCCAAAGGTGAATACCGTGTGGTTAAATTAGCGAATAAAATGTAAGATTGTAGAGATTTTTAAGAATAAAAGGTGGATGGTTCATTTCTGCACATGAAATTCACATTCATTCTGTGTCATCATTTGTGATCGTGATTTTAAACACTGGCAGTTATTGTATACACCACATAATCAGTCTTTCTGATAAAACGAAGGCTGGTAAACTCTATCCATATTATAAAGACCAAGGAGCATTGGTATGGGTGATCTCCACAATCACACAAAGCATGAAACCAAGTCTAAGTTTCCTGTTTTGCTCCTTCCCTGTATAAATCATCACTCGTTAAATGTTTGGTGAGAAGAGAAAACTGTCTGAAGCTACATCTTTTTCCAATGACTGGTCCCTGTGCATGTTACCGGACAGGCTGAAAGTCATGGCTTTGGATTTCCATATTTTGCAACAACAACAAATGCTCTTTTACATTCTTCTTGTGAACTCGCAGCTGATCTCTTGTCTTGTCATGCGAAGTTCACTTGGGGTGTCTATTTTGCAGTGAGGTTGGTGATTCAGTTTGCTTTGACTTTCAGTCTTTTAAGAAGTGGTATTTCCAGCCGCTCTGTTTCTTTCCACTCAGTCATAACTCAGGCTTGATCTCTGTGAATTTCTAACGCTTTGAGCCGCTGTCCATCATCTGCCGGCTGGGGGCTGGGGATTTAGCTCAGCAGCAAAGCACCTGCCTGGCAAGCGCAAGGTCGTGAGTTTGATTCCTGGTACCGGAAGTTTGATTCCCTGTACTTTGAGCTTTAAAGACTAGGGAGCTTATATAATCTCTGATTGTTGACTGCCTTGCATGCCATGATTAATTCTCCCTTCAGATAACAGGCAGCTGAATCATTAAAATGGCTCTTTTTCAGTACGTATAAAGCTTGCAAGAGGAGTAGGAATTAAATGTTTGTGGCAAGATCAGTTTTATATTAAAATAAATGTCCGGTGTCCATGAAAGACTATTTAAGATATTTCAAAGCTATGTGTAAAAAAGTACAAATTATCATCTAGTTGGCAAGAAAGACAAATATTTGGCCTATATTACTATTTCTTATAAATAAAGAACTTACCATGCTATTGGAACATTTGGAACTTTTAAAAATGTTCCCTTAAACTTTTAAGTCTAGAAAAGACTCCAGCAGAGTAGAAGGGAGGACATGAGTATTAAAAAATAAGCCATTAGCAATAAATGGAGTCCTGATTTTAGCAATAAATGGAGTCCTGATTTTATATAAACTGAGAAGAAGGTCGGAAGGAAGTATGGCTTAACATACTAATGCCAACAAACCAGCTAGCTCATTTAAAATACTTCTGAAAATACTGCAATAAAAAAGTACTATGCTCTTTTTAAAAAGGAAAATGTGTACACCATATTAAAACATAGAAATAGATACAAACTCAAACCATAGCAATGAAGTTGCTCAGATTACCAGATGTAAGAATGCAAGCTTGATCAAATAATTAAAGAGAATACAAAATAATTTATAAAAACATTAGAAACGGGGGCTGGGGATTTAGCTCAGCGGCAAAAGCGCCTGCCTGGCAAGCGCAAGGTCGTGAGTTCAGTTCCCGGTACCGGAGGAAAAAAAAAAAAAAAAAACATTAGAAATGATACACAGCTTCACTCATCAAGATGGTAGGAATTCACCCATGGCTGTTATATTGCATAGCTGTTGTCTTCAAATTAGTCGTTCAGATTACCAGCCATAAGATTACAATATGTAATATAACAACCATTGTTAATTTCCTATCATCTGGTTTTGAAAGTATGTGTCGTTTTTATTGTTTTTGTGTTGTTTTATCTTGGTTGTTGTTGTTTTGCTTTCTTTTCTCCTTAAAATAAAAAGCCCATAACAACACTTAGGCATGTAACAAAATGACCCAACAGCAGCTAACCTCCAGTGCTCAGGCCCGGCGCCCACCACCTCCAGGTTGGGAGCTGCGTCCCTGTGCCTCAGCCTGCTCGGCCTTGCTGCCCCGTCCCACCTTAGCTGGTACTTACGTCCAGCCAGCATTCCCCACCCGCTCTGGCCTCAGCCTGGATGATGGTCCCCACAGTGCGCTGTCCTTCTATGCTCCGTTACGCTGTTCCCAAGGTCACCCCTCCCAAATGGAATTATAGTTGCCACCTTCCTGTGTCTGCCACCTCCGTTAAGTGAACACAGCCGAGCACGCTCTTGTGTGCTCTGTTCCGTGCGGATGGCTGGCTACATGGTACCTAGCAGGTACAATACTCAGAAAAAGAAATAGTTGAATGAGTGCGTGTCCCAGAGGCAGGCAAGTCACAATGCCTGCCCTTGAGGACACCGCCATCTAGTGGGGGCGTCGGAAATGCAGCTAAACCCGTCGAGGTGTTAATTTCAGGAGTACAGATTAAAAAACAAGCAAGCGGGCTGGGGATTTAGCTCAGCGGCACAGCGCCTGCCTGGCAATTGCAATGTCATGAGTTCGATCCCCGATACCAGGAAAAAAAAAAAGGAAGCAGGGTCCAAGGCGAGCATTTGGCCCCGGAAGCCAGGCACTTTTCAGAAGAAGTTCTGCTTTGCTGGTTTCTGAAGGATTTCAAGGATTACCGAACAGAGAAGAGAACATAGCAGATGCTCAGAAAATAACGACTGTAGCAGGGTCCCACGCAGCAGCCCTGCGTGTCCGCGGCTCCCAGATGCCCCAAAGAATAGAGCGGCCACAAACATGGGACTGAACTACTCCGACAGACTGTGTTTTTTATTTCTTATATTTTTATAAGTGCGTGGAACGGATTGCATTTCTATATTTTTATTAGCACTTGTTTCAGTAGCTCCGCTTCTGTTCCTTGCGTGGAGCTGGTACTTGTGCTAACACAAGGAAATTCCCTTTCATCCCCCGCCTCCCACCTCCCCATCCCCTTCCTATTTGGTAAACAAACGTCTGTCTCCGTGCTCCCCAAGGTCTGTCTGTTGCTTTGCTCTTCGTTTCTAATCTGGGTTTCCCCTATAAGAGGAACCATGGGATAACGAAGCTTGTGCGTCTGGTTCATTTCACTTACAGGATGGTCCCAGGCTGCATCCATCTCGTCTCCCTGTCTGTGGACTCTGAAACTGCGGCGTCCTGTGTGGGTCACCCGGGCGGCCGCCTGCAGGACAGCTGGCACTGACCGTGCCCAGAGGATGGCCTGGTGCCAGGCAGCGCCGGAAGGGGAACGGAGAGGCCCTGCGGGACGCTGAGCGGGCCGCGGAGGGAAAGGTCCTCGGCCACCAGCTCTAGCATCTGGGAAGCTTCTGGAGGGAGGAGCAGAGGTCAAAGCCCCACCGAAGGAGTCCTGCTTGCCCCGGGGTGCGTACCAACCGGTCCGCGGCGGGGGCGGAGCAGGTGGAGAGAGGTGGGAGGCTGGGCTGACCAAGAAGAGCGCAGCAGGCGCAAGCTAAGTACTGATCCGGAGGAAACGGAATCGGAGGAGGTTCGCAATCCCTCAGCCACGCCCTGGCCGACCCCGCCCTGTCGCCTCTCACGTCCTAGAGCGGGGCTGTGTCTGTCCCCGTGAGAGATCCGCCCTCTGCCCGGGCGCCTTCTCAGCGCTCCCCTCCCTCTCGGCAGCCGGCGGACCCCCTCCTGCGCTCAGCTCTCGCGTGTGGACCTCCAGAAAGCTCCGCTGGCTCCTGAGGCGTCCGGCCTGCGCTGCGCCCTGGGGTGCTTTCACCCTCCGCTCTGGTTGTCTCCCTCCCCCGTCCGTCCCCGAGTACCGGGTCTTGTCGGGGTGGGATGGAGAAACGCGCTGTTGACCTGCAGTTGCGCTGTCTCCGCACCCAGGGCTCGCAGCACCTCCTTTTGCTGAGGAAGAGCGACCCATGAGCCACGCAGTGCAGACCCACGCGGCCGTGTTTTCACGAGCCCGTCTTTCTTTCGGGTGGCACCGGGCAGCAGGCGGCAGGACACGAAAGGGAGCTTCCAGACCTGCTTCAGCAAGTGGAGAAAATAATGTGTGTTTGACACAAGGGGACAAGTTGAGGGGGATTTGTAGCAGTGTGTCCTTTACTGTAACACACTTAGAGAATAACAAGCATTTACTGTTTTTGATCACCCCTCCTACTTCCGTTCCTTCCTAGGGATGCCAGCCACTCGGGCTCCTCATGGGCACTCAGACAGCGGTGCTCGCGTGAATGAATGAACGAATGAATGAATGGGATAATAAATGGAAGTGTCATGGAAGATTTACTGAGTGACACGCTTAGACCTCTGCCTTGGAAGACAAATCTGGCGGGATGTGAGCGGTGGCTGAAGAGGGGGACGCCGGGATCAGAAGCAGGGTGCTCAGGTGCAAGGGGGCAGTGAGGGTGGCCCGTAGGGGCCCCGTCCAAGGGACACTTGGAAGTTAAGCACCAGAACGCGGTGACTGGCTAGTGAGAGGAGGGCAGGATATGGCCCATGACTCTGAGCTCAGGTCACACTCCCACCGCAGGGAGAGAACCTGGGGTCGCTCTGGAGACTTTGAAGCAGGGGCTGGGGAAGGAGGACAGACGGCAAGAAGGGAGTAAAATACCCGGAAATAATGAGATCGAAGGGGAGGAGAGGCCCAGGAGGCTGCGGCTCCCCTGAAACGAAGTTTGCCCACCGCAGAAAGGGGTGCCCAGCCAAGGGGACCACGTGCAGGCCAGGAGGACACCAGACTCAGCTCTCTGCATTTGATAATTACAAGACAATGGTTTGGGGACTTGGGGGTCCCATGTTCAAACATGATTCCTCCTGGCAGCTTCTCCTGCTAACTTGCCCCTGATTTCCCATGCTGAGAACTGTTACTTCGAAATGATCACTCAGCCCCCTGACAACACTGGGGACGTTCTTTTATTTCACAGACTCTTTTAAGGATCTATTTTGGTTGTGCCAAAAGTAAGAGAGAGAGAAAAGGAGAAATACATGGTCCTCTGGGCATATTTTTATGCCTTAATGAAACCAATATTATGGGAACAACTACAAATGTGCAGGTAATTGGTCTAACCTCTTCTGAATCATGCTGGAGGAGAAGAATGCCAGAGGAATAAAAACGATTTTGTTTAAACAAGATACGTGGACTAGATCTAGCTTTCTCAAGAGTTGCTCCTCCGCTCACTGAGGTTGTACTGTGCAAGATGAGTTTCCGCTGTGATGACAGGCAACCCAGAACAGCAGATCCACTTTGTCAGGGAGAGGCAGCTGGGATGGGGCAGCCCAGGCCCAGCCTGCAGATGCACCTTCAGAGAGGACTCGCCCTCTATGCACACTCACCCTCATTCACACGCTTTGTGTCTAAAGAGGGAGCTAGAGCTATAGCCACGCTAATTCCAGGCAGGAAGGCGGAAAGCAGAAGGAAAGACCAAAGGCCTTTGCTTAGCCGTGTGCTCCCCCTTAAGTAACTTCCCAGAAACCCTCTCGCTACTGTGTGGTCTGCGCTCTGTTGCACTGGCCAGCTCTTAGTCATATGGATGTCTGTAGTCAGTCAAGAGAGGTTGGGAAACCTGGTTCGTTCTCAAGTGTGCAAACGCAGCTGTCCCAGGGTATGTGTGGGGTTTCTCATCTGAAGAAAAGCAGAGGAGGAGTGGGTAATGACATCCGGTCATCTCTTCCTTCAATGCCAGGGCACACTGTACCTACCTGACAAGTCCTAAATGCATGAAAGCAAACAGGTAGTGACGTCATGCTCAGGACTACAGATATTTGACAGCTAATGACGTTAATATCTTCTCTCCTCATGTCCTCGTAGATTTTAATCCAATACAAATACTGAGAAATGTTGACACTGTAAATGTATCTTCTTGCATTCAGAAAACAAAAAAGCATAATATTTAATGAAGGGAATTTTGCTTTTCATAGGATCAATGCCAGCATACCGGAAACTCTTTCCTCTTTCAAGAAGTTTCTCCTTTAGTTATATTTACAGAAAAAGACTGCCACAGCCTCTGTCCAGGAAACTATCCTGCATCTGAAGAAATGTTACATGCGTTCGGCCAGGGAGACAGAGCTCGGCTGCTCTGTGGGCCGAACGCTCACTGTGGCTACCCGCCCACCTCACACAGTCGTCTCCTGTCAGCCTTGCTCCCCTCTAATTCTTTATCAAATTCGGTTCCACAGATTCACCCACTTATGAATGTTTCCTCTCCCTGCCTTGGTGCTGCGGCACCATCCTCTTCTGCATGGTTTCCATCTTTGATTGCTTCCTTCCTGTTTCCTTTCCTAGAACTTTTTTTGTATTTGTCTTTTGAGACAGGGCTTCACTATGCAGTTCAGGCTGGTCTTCAGCTCACTTTGTAGCCCAGGGTGGCCTCGAACTCAAAGCAATCCTCCTGCCTGAGCCTCCCGAGTGCTGGGATTACAGGCGTGTGCCTCCTTTACTAGAACTTCTTCTCCTAGCTATTCCCCCAGCTTGCTTGCCTGACCCAATCCCACTCTCACGCCATGTGGACGCCATTGCCACTTTCAACCCGTGAAGCCTCTGTGTGGGCGACTCCCACAGGTCTGGCCTTGAAACCCACATTTCTCACCTCTGTTGATGGGAAACAACTTGGTAAACCAAGCTCTTACACGAGCTCTTCAAATTTCATGGAACCCAAGACGAAATTCACTCCATTCTCCACTGACCCCAGCTACTCCTCCTTTTGTATTCTTTTAAATATTCATTGAGAAAAGAGTATCTTCTCACCTGTGACGTGGCACTGTGACCTCCCAGCTCTCTGGACAGAGCACTGGGACATCCTGGGGCTCTTACCCTCCCACCTCGCTGCCTATGTCCGTGTCCAAACCCCCGGTCTGCCCTCTAGGCCACCCCTTCTTGTTACTGCTACGACACCTGGAGGGGTCTCTGCCATCATACTGCTACCCTTTCTTTGAAATTCTTCAGCTGGCTACATTTTTTTACACCCCCCAAAAGACAGATGCTACTTGAACTTTTACAGTTCACTATAACCTGGAATCAATCCCTTTGTCACCTTCCTTACCTCTGCCTTAACCCTTTCCCACACAACAAGCCTAGTGGCCCATCTCACCTTTATTTCTCCCACTGCCCTGCAGCCACGGCAGCCATGACAGCCACGGCCCTGCCCACACTCTGCGCCTGCATGGACTTGAGCACAGCTGGCGCTCCGGGAAGTGAGCAACTGGAGAGGTTGTCTCATCGCCCCAGGGTGCCCAGCACAGCGCCTAGGGCGTGAAACGCCACCCACAGGGGTGTGCGGAATGAAAACTAGCCGTGGAAGGCCCTTGCTTCCGCCCGCATGTCTTCAGCTCAGGGCTGACCCTCCGTGCCGCCCCTGTTCTCTGCTGCCCTTTCAGAGACCTCAGTGTCCTCGCGCCTACTCCTGCCAGCCCAGGCCTTTTTCTCACGGCCTTTTGGGCAGCTCAACCCGCAGACCTCGCCCTTGCCAGGTCCTTACCAAAACCTGCACAGCCCTGGGGCTGGCCTTAGAGCCCAGCATCTTCATTTTACGACCAAGACACAAAGCCCGGGAAGGCAGCACGCACTGCCCAAGGGCACAAGACTGATGGGTGGCGAGGCTGAGACAGACTGGAGAGCTCCCGACCCCAAGTCCACTGCTCTGTCACCCTCTGCTGCCCACCCGCAGCGCAACCCCTCGGCCTCCAGCGAAGGACTGGCCCGGATCTGCTGCGGGGGTCACCATCAGCATCGCGAGTGTCTCTGACTTAACAACCGCCAGGTGCTCCAACGCAGAGGATGGATCCTGGGGAATTCGCACGTACCTGGAAACCTCCTCTTATTCTGGTCAGAGCTCTTTTCCTTGCTCCTGAACTCAGACAGCAAAGAGACACTGTCTGTGCTTGCATATGAAAGGCCTGCACATTTTCCTCAATGTATTTTTTTTTTTTTTTTTGGAGACAGGTCTCACTATGTAGTTCAGACTTTGACTCACTGTGTAGCCTTGCCAGTGCTGGGACTGCAGGCATGCACCCCCATGCCCAGCAAGATGGCATTTTGAGTCTCCAATTGGATAATGTATGGAAAAGTACTTTCAAAAACAAAGTGCTTCCTAAAGGAATTTACACACTCATTTATTCCTTCAGGAAATATTATTAAGCACTATGCTAGATGCTGAGTCTACAAAGCAAAGTGAGATTTCTGGACTTCTGGGGGCTTGTAATGGTAGTCTGCTCCTGATACCTACCTTGGAGAAGGGCGCCCCATCCGAAGGCAAACAAAACCCAACGAGGTCAGGCTGCCCCGTTATGTTTTGCCATGGCCCTTTGTGCTTCTTTCTCTCCTAGAATTACCACAGTTTCAGGTACACAGGTGCGTAATTAATTGCCTACTGCCCACTTGGGTCACTAGCATTTCAGGGCCACGGGAGCCGGTAGGGAGCAGGTCCTTCTGGTTCCGATACTCGGCGCCTAGCCTGGCTGGCACAGGAAGGACTAACAAATACTTGAATGGATGGAGCGATAAATGAAGAATCGATCGGATGGCGGAAACACAGTACAATGCAGAGTGATACAGTATCACTCGTATACTCTATTAGGCTTCCACAGTACGACGGGGATTTCTAGGAGAACATTTAAAACCAGCCTTGATTTCCAGAAATCAACCTTGCAAAGTAAGCTACTCACACGTGTATTTTATACAGGCACCTGCCCCTGGCTTCAACCGCACTACTCTCTGTGAAATATCAGAGCCGTGTCAGCAGTAGACACCATTAAAGCTGGCTGGATAAGGGGCTGGGGATTTAGCTCAGCGGCAAAAGCGCCCGCCTGGCAAGCGCAAGGTGGTGAGTTCGGTTCCCGGTACCGGAGAAAAACCAAAAAAAAAAAAAAAAAAAAAAAAAATGCTGGCTGGATGACTCAAAGGCGCGCACGGCTCCACCAGGTCGTCTTGGGCTAAGACGAGACTGAACGGCCGCGTCTGCTCGGGAGAGAGAGCGCTACAGTTCCGCCCCGCCCCGGCTCCCGTAGTTCTCTGGGGCGGAGCCTCGGGCCACGTGATCCGCGCGGTGCTGCGCACGCGCAGTGCCCGTGGGGGCCAGCTCCGAGGAGGTGACAGCTTCCGGCCTGGCTTCCCCGCCTCCTGCGCGGCTGACGCGCTCGGGCTCCGCGGTGCGTGGCGGGGCGCTGCGTCCCCGAGTCGCCTTCCGCAGCTATGGCCTGCTCCATTGTCCAGTTCTGTCACTTCCAGGACCTCCAGGGCGCCCGGGACTTCCTGTTCCCGCAGCTGCGTGAGGACGCCCCGGGCGGCGCCACGCCGAGGGACCCGGGTAAGCGCCTGGCCGCGCGGACGCCCACCCTGCCCGCCGCGGCCTCG